CATTGCCATTGCCGTTGCAGCTGGCGACATAACCTTCACATTGTGGGCCCGCCGCATTGTTACGACACTTGGAGCAGGGATGGGGATACGATGGCGTTGCGCATCGCTCGGTGGGGAATGTTGGAGTCGATGTCATTGCCGACGGCTGCACGCAGTCGGACCATCGCTCTCACGTTGCTTGACCGCACTCTTTTGTTCACCCTTGCCGCTGACCTCGAGGCGACGCCCTGGGTGCCATCGAGCTTGGCCGCGCCTTTCTCCGAGCCGGTTGCGTATATGTTCTGTCAGGATTGTTAGCAGAAGCAGAGGTCGGCATCACAAGGTTGGAAGAACTACGAATGTTCCTAGGCGGATCTCACGTTCTTGCTATTTCTGGAGTGTCCTCCCCGCATGCATGGTGCTCCCCTACCAGGCGTTGCTTGTGTCTTGTTTTTTCCTCGGGTTTGCTTGGTCTTCTCTCTTGTCCGCTTTCCCCAGGTTCCTTGGTATTGATACCATATTGCCTTTCAATGCCATGCGACGCAAAACTATGCCAAGCAATGCCAATCCATGGCAACCCATGTCATTCATTGCCAAGCAATGCCAAGGATCAAAAAACAATGCCATGCAGTGCCCAGCAACGCTACGCACCGCCAAGCAGCTTCAAGCGATGTCAAGCAAAGCCAAGCAATGCACAGGAAAGCAACGCCGATGCCAAGCAACGCCACGCAATGCCATCCAATGCCAAGTAATGTCCAGTAGCTCCAGTAATTCAAAGCAATACCAATCAAAGCAATGGAAAGCAACATAAATGCAAACCCCGGAAGACCTTCTTTCCCATGATTCTACTGATTATCCCTGGCCAAATCAGTTTTGGTCAGCGGTGGGGAGTGGCGGGGCTGAGCTTCATTACCGCAGGGAAAGTCAACTTCGTAGATCGAATCTTCTTATCACGGTCAGCAGCATCATCGTCGTCGTCTTCGTCATCATCATCATCATCATCATCATCATCATCATCATCATCATCATCATCATCATCATCATCATCATCATCATCATCACCATGGTTATCATTCTCATCGTCATTCGCCGAGTTCGCGAGGTGAGGATGTCTCAAGCGAAACGCTCCAGGTATGCCCCGCCTGAGCGAGCACTTCATCGCTATACCGTAATATTTCTCAGGATTCCAATTTCTCCCACCCTTCCAGGGAGGCCCCGCAAGAGCGAGCACGGTATCGTTATACCATGAGACACTCCGTGCATCCATACATTCCGAAATATTCTGTTCGCTTCTCCTCTTCCTGCTTCTCCTTTTTTATCATGCAATTTGCAGGGGAAAGTTTCTTGTCCCGCCGGAACCAAGAACTTTCTTCACCCCACCCTGTGATTATCGGGGGCGTAGTTTTAGTTGCATACTCAGGAAGCTTTCCCAAAATTTGGGTCGTGCCGGGGTCATTATTCCACAAGCTGGTGAGTGCCAGGCCTGCGTTGGCCGGCGTTCTTCGGGGTTGTTTGGTCTCACGTTCTTCTTGTGATGTTCCCCTTTGGATGCTTGGTCTTGATTCCTTGCTGCCTTCCCTAGGGTTGCTTAGTCTTGGTTCCTTAGTGCCAAGCCATGCGCAGCAAGGCAAAGCAATGCCAACCAAGGCAAAGCAACGCCATGCAAGGCAATACCAACTCGCACCAATCAATACCAAGCAACGTCAGGCAATGCCAAGAAATTCAAAGCAACGCCAATCAACGCCGAGTAACGCCAAGCAATGCCAAGCAACGCCAAGCAATGCCAAGCAATGCACAGCAACGCCACGCTATGCCAAGCAGCGTCATGCAATTCAAAGCAAGTCCGAGCGAAGCCGAGCTAAGCAACACAACGCCAAGCAACGCCAAGCACTGCAAGCAACGCCAAGCAATGCAAGCAACGTCAAGCAATGCAAGCAACGCCAAGCAATGCAAGCAACGCCAAGTAGTTCACATTGCGAAGCAACGCTCCTCATCGCCAAGCAATGCAAAGCAACGCCAAGCAACGATAAGTAATACAAAGCAGCGCAATCAACGCCAAGTCACGCCACGCAACGCCAAGCAGCGCTAAGGAACGCGACGCAATGTCACGCAACGCGAAGCAGCGCCGAGGAGAACAAACAACGCCGAGCAATGGGAAGCAGCGCCGATCAACGCAAGCCAGCGCCAAGCAACGCAACAGCTCGCAAAGCATCGCCGAGCAAAGTCACGCAATGCGAACTATTGCTTTTCATTGCATAGCCTTGCATGCTTCAGAGCTCCTTTGAAGTGCTTCGGAGGAAAGTCGACCCCTAAATGGGGTCGATATGGTCTTCTTTGTTTCTAGGTGGATGTCGGTTTCCTGTTATCTCTGCACTGGCCTCCTGACTTGCTTATCTGGCTAAGCCAGCTGGCCGCATTCTTGTCATCCGTGCCTGCACGTGGTCCCGGCTCTCTTCCTCGGCGCTCTCGGGCCAGCAGAGGGCTGCCGGTGGGCACGGGCATAGCAGAGTGAGCCCCCCCACGAGCGAACGGCGGCGTGTGGAACCCTTTCCGCCTGGAGCCTGTTTTTTTTGGATTCAGGTAAGTTTACTTGCATGGCGTTCGCTCCCCCCCCCCCCCCTCCCTCGCCCCTCTTTAAGCGAATACTAGCGTGCAATGCCTTTCGACTTGCGTGATTTCCGCGCCCCCCCCCCCCCCGGGCTTGCTTCAGGCTCAGCCCCCCCCCCGTCCATGCAAGTAAATTTGCCAGAGTCTAAAAAAGGCTCCTGCTGGTGCTCCCGCAGCCGTTGCCGCCCGAGGCTCCAGGCCGTGGCTCGCTGCCTGGCCGAAGCCGCGCCGGCCCGCGCGCCGACGAGGCCCCCCCCCCCGCCCCGAGCCAGGCAGCCGGGCAGCGGCCGCAGGCCCGAGGGAAGGTCGGGCCGGACGAAAGGGGGGGGAGTGGGCAAGGGGGGGGTTACGAAATCCCCAGACATGGGGCGTCTCGAAAAAATCGAGGCGGAGGTTTTTCCAGATGTTCGGCCTCTCGAGGCCCTCACCAGGCCTCGGGACCGTCAAACAACGACTCGGGATGGAAAACCGGTCCCGGGGAAGTGGTCGGAAGGTCGGGGGGCCGCGTCTCGAACAAAATCGAGACGTCAGATGATGTTGGGTCTGCTGCATGCAGCTGGTTTCGGTCCCGCCGCCGGGCCCATTCCTCGATACATGGGCGCCTCCCGGCGCCGTGAGGCGCCAGGAAAGTTAGCTACACGCAAGCTGATTCTCACCCCCCCCCCTTTGCTATCCCCCCCTTTCGCCCGGCCCGAGTTAAAGGGCCTTGGCCGGCTGCAGAGATGGCTGGCGACCTCTCCCACGACGCCAGCAAGTGGGAGGCCTTCCGGCTGGTAAAGGAGGACGACGTGGAGGGCCTCAGGCGGGCGCTGAGCCACCACCCACAGGGGTCGTGGAGCGCGTGGCGCAACTTCGCAGGCAAGACCCTGTACCAGGTCGCCGAGAAGGAGACTCGGGGGAGATACCACTCGGTGGCGAAATCCGAGACCTGCCCTCGCCGACCAGCGATTCCGGCAACTCGAGGGGCGGCGGGGGTGAGGGTTCGGAGATCGTCGAACGGCGAACGATTGGGAGTCGCCGCCGAACCCGGGGGAGAGACCACGCGCGCATTCGGACCGATGCGGCGCGCTCCAGGGTCTGGGTAGTCGAAGGCCAGACTGTCAGATTGGATTGGGCCCCAAGGGCCAATCTGGCCCGGCCAAACTGGATGATTTGGGTTATTCGCCAGACTGGATTCGCGTTGGCTCCCTCGCCAGATTGCCCCCGTTTGCCAGATTGGGCCTGCCAGATTGGCGCCAGATAAGCTTCGACTACCCAGAGGGTGAGCCTCGCTCTCGGCGCCTCTCGCTTCCGGCGCGCTGGCTGGTGGAGTCCCACGGCGACGGGCCCGCCGGCGGAGGCCGGCGGGAGGCCTGCGGTGGTAGAGCTGAAACGTCAACATTTGTGGGTCCATACGGTACTCCATACGGTACTCCACATTTGTGGGTCCATACGGATTTCGTAATAGGGGGAGGGGGGTCTCATTTCGGGGGGGTCTCTTCCAGGCTATCTTGGAGGGCCTGGGGGGGTCTGGGGACAATGTTTTGGAGGGTTCTCCCACGGGGGAGGTCTGAAATGGCTTGTCTTGGAGGGTCCAGACCCCCTCCCTTTTATTACGAAATCTGGAGTAGCAAGTCATCGGAGCCTGGCGTGTCTGGTGAATGCCGTCTTTGGCGCCGACTCGCGTCGATTGGCGTTCGAGAGTCGATGAGGCAGCGCCTACTTAGCGCGTCGATTCGCCGTGGATTCGCGTCGACTGGCGTCGATCAGCGTCGATTCGCAAGAGCCGACAAGATGGTATGAGAGGCTCCCATGCGTTGCCACCGCAGGTCCAGGGTGCCTGGATTTGTCAGATACCATCCCTTCGTGGTCGCCTCCGTCGCCGCGGCTGGATGCACGTCGGATTCCATGCCGGACCGCTCCCCAGGCGAGGGTCTAGGTGCATCGGTGTCGGAGCCTCTCTGTCCCCCCATGACCAGGGGCACCGTCAGGGGGAATCTGGGGGGGATGCATCGATCGCCGATAAGGGGCCCGCTAACCCACCGCGCCCAGGACCGCGCGCAGTCGCTATCGGATGCCTCTCGCCGATCTGTCGGTGACGTGCCGCCGACTCAGGCTCGTGGCTCCCCTCCCCGAGCCCATCCGCCCCTAGCGCCTAACGTTGCCCATTTGTCCTCGGGTCAGAACTCAGCGCTTCGGCTGCCTCTCGGTCCTCATGTTCCTCCTCCTGACTGACTGACTCGAGGTATATTTCCTCCTCCTCCTCCTCCTGCTCCTCCTCCTCCTCCTCCTCCTCCTCCTCCTCCTCCTCCTCCTTCGGCGGCCGCGTGTCTGCCGCGCGCCGGGAGCACGTTGATCGGGGGCCGGCGCAACCCCCCAACCCCAGGACAAGCACGCCGCTCAGCGGCGAGCAAGCCCCGGAGCCGAGGGGGTGCGCCGACCGGGGCCTCTACCTCGCATGCACGGGAGCACGGCGGCGACGCCCAGCAAGGCGTGAGTGCGAGCGCCGGTCGCCCGCCCCCGGCGCCGCCCGCAGCTCCGCGCGCGCCAGCCGCCGTCGGGCCCCAGTGGCCCGGCGCCCAGGGCCCCGCGGCCGCGGCCCACCCAGTTCCCCGGCGGGGCAGCAGCGGCAGCAACGCTGTGCTTGCCAGCGCCCCTCCGAGCCGCACGGGCGGCGCTGCGTTGCGCCGTGCCAGGCCGCCCAGCGCCGGCACCGCCGGCGCCGCCGCCGCGCCGCAGTTGCCCAGCCGCCTCGGCGCGCGCCCAGCGCCCGCGGAGCAGCGCCCGAGCCCCAGCTGCAGCGGCGCGCCCGCCAGCCGCTCGGCGCGCGCCCCCAGCGCCAGCCGCTCAGCTCAGCCGGGGCCGCTCCCCCGCGCTCAGCTCGCGCGCGCGCGGCGGGCCGCCGGCTCGGCGCCGCGTGCCCCGCGGCGCGTCACCCCGCGCGCGGCCAGGCAGGCGGAGCGGAAGGCCTCCGCGCTCCCGCGCTGCAGCGTCGCCGCGAGGCTCTGGCGAGCCGCCGCCAGCACGGCGGCGTCGCCGCGCGCCCAAGTCCGGAGGAGCGCCTGCGCCTCCGCCCCAGCGCGCCCCAGCGCCTCCAGCGCGAAGGCCGTGAGGGCCGGGCCCGGGTAGCGCCTGTGTTTGCGCTCCTCCGCGGCTGCCGCGGCCGCGCCGTCCCGGACGGCTCGGCCCCGGCCCGCCGGCGTGTCTGCGCCCAGGGCGGCGTCCGTGACCACCGCGTCGACGCAGGACACGCCGGCAGCGGGGTCGGTGAAGACCACGTCGAGGCGGGCTGCCTCGACAGAGCCGTCCGCCCGAGCCCGGTCCCAGGCGGGCACGAGCTGCTCCGCGCCCACGCCCGTTGCGCCCCGGGCCTGCAGCCAGCCGGCGAGCCAGTCCCTGACGCCGTCGTGGCGGTGGCTCGTGCCGCCTCCGACGTGGCAGCCCAGGCAGTGCCCCGGCGTCGCGGCCAGGTCGGCCCCGCAGAGAGCGCCGTCCTCCCGGCGCCGGAGGCAGGTGGCGCTGGCGCCCGCGGGCGCAGGCAGCTGTAGTCGCAGCGCCAGGGCCGGGAGGAAGTGCGCGTCCGCCATGACGTGGTCCTCCTCCGTTGGCGGCAGGAGCCAGCTTCCCGCGCCCTTCCCGCTGGCCGAGCGGAGCTGCGCTGCGCGGCTCGGCGGCAGGGCGCCCAGGAGCCGCTGCGGGCGCGCGCGTTGCTCCGGCGCCGCAAGGGCCCGCTGCGCCGTGGCCCTCGGCTCCGCGGCGGCGCAAAGCCAATCCGCGCCGCGCGCCTGGAGCGCGCGGCCCGCGCCCTCGGCCTCCCTCCACGTCGTCGGGCAAACTTGCTGGAAGGCCTCGAGGCTGGGCAGGCCGAGCTCCCTGCAGACGCCGGCCAGACACGCCTGCCAAACCCCCACAAAGGCCGGGAGCCTCCTGTGCGCGAGGCCCTGGAGGCCGAGCCCGCCAGCGGCGAGGGGCAGGAGGGCCAGGTCGCTCGCGAGGGCGGGGAGCTCCTGGTGCCCAGCGAGCGGCTTCAGAATCTCGCGCGCGTGGCCGAGAACCACTGCGTCGTAACCTTGGCACCGCGCCTCGTCGAGCAGGTGCGCCCTCGCGTGGTGCAGGGCCGCGCCGTTGGCGAAGGTGCGAAGCAGCGAGAGCTCGTCTTGGGCGCGCAGCCCGTGCTCTCGGAGCTGGCGGAGGGCCGCGAGGTAGGCGTCGAGGTGGTCCCGGGCCGCCTGCGGGGCGGCAGCCAGCGAGAAGCTCGTCGCCCGGGGCTGCTCCCGCTGCGTGGCGCACGTAGGGGAGAGTGCGTCCCACGCGCGTGAGCTCGGGCACCTCCGCCCTGGCCAGCGGCCCAGGGAGCTGCAGGGCGCGCGGGTTCCACACCTTCGTCTTCCGCGGGTTCACGCGGAGGCCCCGTGCCGAGAAAAGCCCGGGCGCGGCGAGGAGCGCCGCTGCCAGTGCGCGCGGGCTGCCCACGACGTGCGCGTCGTCGAGGTACGCCACCACCTTGGCCTCGGGGTCCACGCGGCGCGCCGCCGTCTCCAGGCACTCGTAGAGCGCCCCCGTCGCCACTGCGAAGAACGCAGGGGACAGGGGGCAACCCTGGTCCACCCCGCGCTGCGCTGTGACCGGCGCCGCTCTGGCCCCGGGAAGGCGGGCCCCGCGCGTGGTGGCACCGCCGTGCCACGCCGCCGCGAGCCGCGCCAGCTCCGGCAGGCGGCCGGAAACCTCCCGCAGCAGCGTGTCCCGGCAGAGCTCGTTGAACGCGTTGGCCACGTCGGCGCCAGGGTCCCTCTCCAGCGCGGTCGCCACGACGCGGTGCATCAGCTCGATCCCGTTCTTGCGGCCAACGCCAAACTGGTGGCGCCCCACTGCCGTGGCGATGGCTTCTTTGTGAGCCGCCGTGGCCGCCTTGGCCGCCATCCTGCGCAGCGTCTCGCCGCAGGCAAGCGGCCGCGCACCGCCCCCGGGCTTCAGCAGCGGCAGCAGCCGCCCGGCGAGGAGAGCCTGCTTCGCCTGCGCCGGCGCCCGGCCCTCGAGGATGAGGACGAGGACCTGCGCGAGCGCCTGAGCCCCCTCTTCGTGCCCACGCAGGGCCGCCCAGTGCTCGAAGCGGGCGCCAGACAGGCCCGGGCCCGAGTGGCGAGGGTACTTCCCGAGGCTGCCTGCCACCCTCAGCCTCCCAGGGCGGCGGGGGGCGCGCGGGGGGCGGCGGCGGCGCGCGGGCCCCGGCGGTCGCCTCCGGGAAGAAGAGGGCGGCCAGGTCGCGGGCCACCTCGGGCCCGCACGCCAGCTTGCCAGGCCCGGCGGCCGCCGCGGCCGCGCGGCCCACCTCCCCGAGCACGATGAGCTCGTGCACCCGTCGAGCCACCTCCTCCGGCTTACGATGCCCTGGGCGGTCTTCTTCTGGTTCTCCGGGTCGTGCGGTCGCGGCCCACAGCGCCGCCCAGTCCCCCGCCCAAGCCTGGCGCAAGCGGCGCGGCAGCACCTTCGAGGCCGACGGCCGCTCGTCGCTGCCGCTGGCCGGGGGCACCGCGAACAGAAGCCTCGGGAGCAGGAGCAGCTGGGCCCACGCTGCCTCGCACATGGGGCGCGCCGCGACGGCGCGCAACGCCGCTGCGAGCACGTCCGCGACCGCCGTGACCAGGGTCGGGGGCGTCGCCGTCCACGCGGGCACGGGCTTCCGCAAGGCACCGTTCAAGTCGAAGCCAGCCCACCACTCCAGCCTCGGGAGCTCGCCCGCTTCCGCCGCCAGCACGTGCCGCGGGTGGACGTCGTTGGCGGGCGCGTCGTCCTCCTCGCGCGGGACCGCCCCCGGCAGAGGCGCAGTGCAAGCGAAGATCTCCACGCGAGCCTCCTCTGGCAGCGCCGCCAAGCCCTCCACCGAGCCCAGGGGCACGCCGCCCGCGATGCAGGCTGGGTGGCGGAAGTGCCGGTCTGGGTTCGCCCTGCAATGCGCACTGCCCCTGGCTCGAAACCCGAGCAAACACGCAGCATGCCGCCACGTGCTTCCGAGGGGCCTGGCGGCTGGCCACCCAGGCGCGCACCCTGGGCGGGCGCCCTGCAGCAGCGGCGAGCGGCGCAGCAGCGGCGGCAGCAGGCGCGGCGCCGGCAGCGCTCCCCGGGGCAGCAGCGGCGCCAAGTGCACCGCCAAATTGGGCTGCCCCGAGAAGCGCGGCCGCGGCCGCGGCGTCCTCGTTCTGATCCCCGCCCCGCCCAGCAGCATCCAGCATCTCCACGTCCTCCTCCATGGCCCGGGGGTTGGGGCAGGAAGGCGAAGGGGGTGAGAGGTGAAGAGCGGGTGAGATGAAGTATGTCAGGGCCGCTCCTCCTCCTCCTCCTCCTCCTCCTCCTCCTCCTCCTCCTCCTCCTCCTCCTCCTCCTCCTCCCCTATCACTGATACGCCGAAGGGACAGAGCAGGCACCCCCGGAATGCCCACGGAGGCGCAGCCGCCGGAGGGCACACCGAGGCCAGAAAGTCCCCGAGAGCCAACGAAAGCGCCCGAACACTACGGACCTCGAAGCTTGCCCCCCCGCTTTCTTAAGCCGACCCTCGCAGGAGAGTCGTGGCTCCGGCTCCGGCCGCTGCTTGGAGTGGCTGCGCGGGGAGCTACAGCAGATGGACCTCGAGCCCCAGCAGGTCCCGAGGGTGGACTACGTCGACAGGGTGGTAGAGCAGAGGGAGTACGTGGACAAGGCTCGAAGAAGACAAACCGCGTGAAAATAAAGTGTCGGAGCTCCGCACGGATATCTTGGATCTGCGGGGGCCCACCTTGATGGCGTCTCCAGCGCGCAGCTCCTGGCGCGCTCCGCGCGCCAGGGGCGGGCATTCCAGCGCACGTCCAAGAAGTCCGCGCGGAGCTCTGGAAGGCTAGTCTCATGCCGTTCTTTCTCCTCCCTCCATGAGGTGCTCCAGGTGCCGGTGCAGGAGGTCCACTATCACAAGAAGCTGAAGCACGTCCCGCAGTTCCGCGAGGTGCCCGTGCCAGAGGTCCGCGAGGTGGAGCGGATGACAGTGAAGGAGGAGCTTCACGTCGTGAACGAGTTGGTGGAGGTGCCGAAGGATCGGAGGCCTAGAGGTTGGCACCAACACCAATGTCGGCGGCTGCCTCACCTGGAGGTCAGATGGTCCAGGTCTGGGCCCCTGGGCGATGGTGATAATACTCGGGCTTCCTGGTTGGATGGCCGAAAGATTTCCATCATAACCAGAATCTAGGATCATCTTCCCCCAGTGGAGGTCCCGAAGGACTCGAAGAACGGACAACTGCATAAACGCTATTTCTTTGAGGTCCGCGCGGATTTCTTGGATCAGCGTTGGGCCCCTCTGGCGGCGCCTCTGGCACCGCCCCTGGCGCGCTCCGCGCCCCAGGGAGGGGGGTCCAGCGCCAATCCAAGGAATCGGCGCGGACCTCCGAAAGTTCATTATCATTAAGTTGTTTCTTTCCCTAGTTGCTTCTTTTCCGAAGGACGTCATTCACACCACGATCAGGGAGATTCCGGATATCAAGCACATTACGGAGAGGAGGGAGGAGACGACAGAGGAGCTCTTGCCCTTCAGTCTCACGCCTGTGGATCGGGTGACAGAGGTGCACACGGTCGACGTCCACCCGAAGGTACAGTTTGTGCCGGGTGAAAAGAAAATTGAGCCGTCCGAGTACGAGGAAATTTCTGTGCCGTACGAGCTTTACGTGCCAACCACCGAGGTGAATTACATCGACAAGGTGGTCGTCAGGCCGAAAGAGGTACCAGTGTCCAACGTAAAAGAGTACGCTGTCAAAGTTCCAGTGTACGAGCAGAGGGAGGTTTCCGTCGTCCAGAAGGACATCGAGGTCACCCAGCACATCAAGCACGTGCCAGAGTTCCCTATGCGCACCGAGTGGGTGCCAAAGCGCCACGGTGACCTCTTCGACAGCATGGATGCCAACCACGACGGCGTCATCGACCGCGCCGAGTGGGACGCAGCGCAGCGCCGTGAGCGCAGCGCTGCGGTGGAGCGCAGCGCTTCGGACCTGAAGCACGAGATGTGGTACGAGCTGTCCACGCTGCGGTTCAGGAGCACGCACCTGGGCAAGAGCAACGCTTACCTCAGGAAGCAGGGCTGAACCTAAACGGTGTTTTTCGTTCTCGTTTTGTTTTCGTTTTCCATCGCTTTTGTCTCGAATCTGCCTTTACCGGAAAACGAAGTCGAAACGAAAACGACCCACGAAATCACCAGAAACACCGTTTAGGTCCAGCCCTGCCAGGAAGGAGCTCGAGTTATGCCGGGCGCGGGCGCGGCAGCTCGAGGACAGCCTGGCGTCCGAGAGGCAGCTCCGGGAGGAGGAGGAGCGGCGGCTGGAGGAGCGGCGGCGCAGCAGCGCCGGCAGGGTCGTCATGCACCTGAAGCCGCTGCCAGTGCGGACCCGGTGGGGAGCGCATGCCGACACCGACACCAGGCTCCAGGCCGTCGTCTCCGCTATCTGTAGGGGAACGAACAATGACATAAACATAACAACTCGGAGATCTGCGCGGATTTCTCGGATCGGCGCTGGGGCCCCTTGTCGGCGCCTCTGGCGCCGGGTCCAGCGCGGATCCAAGAAATCCGCGCGGACCTCCGAGTTTTCATGTTTATTTCATTTTTCGTTCCCCTTATCTGGGAGACTCCTGGGGGACGCTCGTCGCCATGGATGGATGCGCCTCGGAGTCGTGGTGAGAGCGCGCCGTGGGAGAGGTCCTGGGAGAGGTGGCGCTGGCACCCGTCTGTGCTCCCCCAGGACAGACAGCTGCGCTGAGGCGGATCGCATTCTGAGCCCCAACACATCCACCATCTTCAGGTCCGCGGTCGACATGTCTGGCATCTCCTCAATGTTCGACTCGCCACAGGCTCTCACGAACAGGGCCGACCAGTTGTTCGACCAGCTGGACAGAAATCACGATGGAGTCATTTCGCGCGAGGAGTTCTACGCTGGGATGGGCCGCCGGCGGTAAGGATCTTGGACCCGAGCACCTCCAGCGTAGATTCGCCGATCCGTTTTTTTGCGCTGCCCATCGAGGCTGGTGCCGTGAGCCGGGTCGCGGTGTTGTCGTAGCAAGTCTCGGGAGCCATGTGTGATCTGTAGAGCGGATTCGCGCTCGCAAGCGTGGGGTAATCGATGGGAAGCGAAGATCTAGCGTCGACTATATCGCTGAGGTGCGTTGATGAGCGTTGGTGAGCTTCCATTCGCAAGAGCCAGCAAGATGAGCTGGGATGCTTCCATGAGTTGCCACAGCATTGCACTTTAATCAGTTAATTGTGCAGCGGACAGTTTTTTTTTCCCCCACGGCCGTGCACGGAGCCACCGCTCCGTGCAGAGCCGTGGCTCCTGCCCAGGGCCCCGCCTCCGAGCGAACACACTCCTCGAGCAACTTCGAGCAGAGCCGGACTCGAGCGGAGGGAGAGCCGCTGCAGGTCCTCACGGGCATGCCGATCCCACGGGCGAGACCTCACGGGCGGGCCAGTTGCCATGAAGTCCGCTTCGCGTTGCGTCGAGAATCGTCCTCCACCACCTCCTCCTCCTCCTCATCATCATCAGCATCAGCATCAGCATCAGCATCATCATCATCATCATCATCATCATCATCATCATCATCATCATCATCATCAGCATCAGCATCAGCATCAGCATCAGCATCAGCATCAGCATCATCATCATCATCATCATCATCATCATCATCATCATCATCATCATCATCATCATCATCATCATCATCATCATCATCATCATCATCATCATCATCATCATCATCATCATCATCATCATCATCATCATCCTCTTACTTTCGCCACTTTTCGATATATACGGACAAATATGCCTATTCATATTTTTATACACATATATATATCCCGGGGGACGAGGTCCCCCGGCCGAGCCCAAGGACCTCGGGGGCGCATGGGGGTGCAGGGCCCCCGGGGCCGCTCGGAAGGGTTCCCGTTCGGCTCCAGAGACCGCCAAGGCGGGCTCCAGCCCAGCCAAGACAGCCCGCGAGCGCTCCAACACGCGCCAGCATGGCTTCCAGACGAGCCCAGCGGCCACCAACACGCCCCAAGCGGCCTCCAAGACGCCTCCCAAGAGAGCCCCAAGAGGCAACACATGTTGTTTTTTTGTCATTGTTTTTTCAATGTTTTTTGTCTTCTCGCTTTTCCTGCTTTCCGACGCTCCAAGACGGCCCAAGAGGCCCCCAAGAGAGCCCCAGGACGGCCCAAGAGGCCCCTAAGCCGGCCCCAAGACGGCCCAAGAAACCCCCAAAGGCGTCCCGAGACGGCCCAAAAGGCCCCCAGGACGGCCCAGGAACCGCCCAAGACAGCTCCAGGAGGGCCCCGCCATGGCCTGAAGACTGCCTAAGCGAGCCCAGCGGACCTCCAACACGCGCCAGCACGGCCTCCAAACGAGACCAGAAGCCACCAACACGCCCCAAGCGGCCTCCAAGAGGCCTCCCAAGGAGCCCCAAGAGGCCACAAACGTTGATTTTTCATTGTTTTTTTGTATTTGTTTTGCCTTTTCGCTTTTTCTGTTTTCCGACGCTGCCAGACGGCCCAAGAGGCACCCAAGACAGCCCAGGACGGCCCCAGAGGCCCCTGAGCCGGCCCCAAGACAACCCAAGAGGCCCCCAAAGGCGTCCCAAGATGGCCCAAGTGAACCCCAAGACAACCCAGGAGCCGCTCAAGACAGCCCCAGCAGGGCCCCGACATGGCCTGACGACTGCCTAAAAGGCCAGCGAGCCTCCAACACGCGCCAGCATGGCCTCCAGACGAGCCCACAGGCCACCAACACGCCCCAAGCGGCCTCCAAGAGGCCTCCCAAGAGAACCCCAAGAGGCCACAAACGCTGATTTGTCAGTGGTTCTTTCGATGTTTTTCGCGTTCTTGTTTTTTTTGCTTTCCGACGCTCCAAGACGGCCCAAGAGGCCCCCAAGAGAGCCCCAGGACGGCCCAAGAGACCCTTAAGCCGGGCCCAAGACGGCCCAAGACGCCCCCAAAGGCGTCCCAAGACGGTCCAAGAGCGCCCCAGGACGGCGCAGGAGTCGCCCAAGACGGCCCCAGGAGGGCCCCGACATGGCCTCAAGATTGCCTAAGCGAGCCCAGCGGACCCCAAGGGGCCCCCCGAGGCCACCCAAGCGCCCCCGAAAAGGCTCCCCGGAGGCTCCCAAGAAGCCCAACAACTCCTCCCAATACGCCCCAGAGACTTCCAGTATGCCTCCAAAAATTGACCCCGAGAGGGTCATGCGAGGCCCCAAGACAGCCCATTGATGGTCACGCGAGAGCCACACCATACATTATGATGATGAGGAGGCGTAAGTAATGGTGGCGAGGGATGCTGATGACAAGGATGGAAGGGGAGCGAAGGATGAGGAGGACTGGGGAGTGACTCGAGGTGAGGAAGGACGAGAACGAGGTGTAGGAAGAGAAGGAGCGGCAGATTGAAGAGAGCGGGGAGGACATGGAGGAGGCTGATGATGATGATGAGGAGGAGGAGGAGGGGGACGAGGAGGAGAGGAGGACGGGGAGCAGTGACGTAACCAACCCTTAACATTTACGCTTCCAAGAGCGAAGGGTGCCATGAGCCGTCTCGGGCAAGTTCCTTCAGCGCTCTTTCCGTTTCCGTGCACAACCATTGGCCCATCCATGGAGCCATGACGGGGCCCAGGTCAGCGCCGAGGCTGTTCCCGGAGCTTCCAACAAGGTCTCCGAGTTGCACTTCCGCGTCCTGCCCCACAGACCCCGTGCCCCAGATCGGCTGAAGACATGATGCTGCTGCCTCCGCAGTCACCAGTCAGTATTCTCCTGCTTACTTCTACGGCATTGCAGGCTGCCATCCATATCGCGGGTCGAGCCGCCGCTCCCTGCACCTCCGCATTCGTGGTCATGGCTCCAGTTGTTACTGAGAGGCCGCGACACACGTGTCATAACTATCCAATTTGCAGTGGACTCCAAACTCAGATCCCAGTCGAAGGCACCAACAAACGAGAACGTCAAAGATTTTGCAGGCGGTGCCTTTCGGCGGATGCACGGTGTGCCCACCCCCAGTGCGAGGCTCCTGTAGCTCCACCCTTCCGACGGCCCAAAACACATGTCACGCCTACTTTCTGCACAACGCACTATTCCGACCCATGCCACTATACCGCGCGTGAGTGGAACTTGTGTAGGAACGCCCGCGTCGGCTGCCGCCTTCTGGCAACCAACAAATCATCGGGCCCGTGCATTCCGTGCTCTGAAGGCTCCCTGCCCTGTCGTTTCGCGGTGCTGGGGTTTCCTTCCCACGTCCGGCAAAAAGGTCAAAAATGCATCAGGCCGGCTTCCGCAATGCGTTAACCATCACAACAACCATTCTTGCCCCTGCAACCTTGGTCGGCAATTCGCCTGCGCATCGCCTGGCTGCCAGGGGGAACGGAACGATGCAGCCCACAGCACTTGCGTCCCATGCCAAGCCGGACGTCGACCGTGCACAGTGTGCTTCTCGCGCCGAGGAGCGCCCGGAACTCCAGATCTGTGCGCTCACTGTGGCGGAGCCAGCCCAGCCGCCAGCCCTTCTCTAGCCGCTCCAGCGCAGTCTTCGACGGCGCTTGCATCTACGCCCTCGCGATGTAGCACTCCGAAGTGCGGGGCGCCAGCGGCGCAAGAAAACACATCTCGAACGGGCGCGCAATGCCCCATGTGCATCGTCGGGGTTTTTCCTTGCGCTACGGCCGCCCGCCACTTCCGCGTCCCTCGACAACACGGACACCGTTGCCTCGTCTGCCAACCGCCCGCCCTGCTCCACTTTTGCCGCGCGCCCGCGTGCACGAACGTAGTCGAGTCGCCAGAGGACACTTTGTGTTGTCTTTGCACTTCGTCCTGTTTCCCACGCGCGACGCGTAGGTGCGACGGCCGTTCCACCCCTTGTTCAGCAGGCCTGTGTCGAACGTGTGGGCTGTCCACACCACAACCACTACCATCCCTCTCCAAACGATCCTACGAGCAAGCCGAACGCCCTTGTAGCTCGTCTGGGTGCAACTGTGTAGCTCAATGGAAGTCGTCCGACGGCCTCTGCATCGCGTGCATTCGGAAAGGGAAGCCATGTAGCAATCGTGCCATTGGGTGCGCTTTTCGCGTGGGCCCTCTCGGCACCGTGGTGGAATGTAGGCACTTTTGCCTCGCGGGGCCCCCTTGCCAAGGGCCCGGAAAGGCCGGCAGCCGCGCCCCCGCCCGCCATGTCGTGCGACGCGCAGTGCCGTGCAACAACGGCATGTGCGAACGTTGCTTTAAACCCACATGTTCCTTCCCACTGTGCGACAGAAAGTTGACGAAAACAATGTACGCCACCCGATACTGCCCCGACCACGTCCGACATGCCGCGGTAGCCACCGCCGCCGCCGGGCCCCGTCATC